CTCCACCTAATAGCGATGGCCTCCACCTAGTAGCGATGGCCTCCACCGAGTAGCGATGGCCTCCACCTAGTAGCGATGGCCTCCACCTCGTAGCGATGGCCTCCAACCTACTAGCGAATTCCTCTCATTGTGCAAGGATGCTTTGGTCCACAAGCTCCCAAGGTGGGTCGTAGCGTCATCCGAGACTCGCTGAGTGCCTGCAGCGCCACAGTGGAGCTCCTGACCGAGTCGTCCTCACTTCGCGGAGAGGCCTCGAGTGGTGAGGTCAAGGAACTGCGTGGGGCAGCCAGCTTTCGGTTGAAGAGCCGGGAGGATCTCAGGCAGTTTTCGAGGGACATAAAGAACAGCTGGGTGTGTCTCATGAGACATGGTAAGTTCCATAAGTTTCCCAAACAATCTAGGAACCAAATCATTTGTGCGTGAGCTATCCTGCGTCCTAGGTAAGTATCTACTTGCAGGTAAGTAGCTACCTCTCCCTAAGGACTCCCTAGCTAACCTCTACTAGCGGCCTACCCCCCGCGGCCAAAAAATTACTACAACCTAGGGAAACAAGATACCAAGAAAACGTAGTACATTAGAAAAAGACGATCTTTTTTAGGAAAAGACGATGTTTTCCAAAATGTGTGTTTTGGATCTGACAGCACGCACCTGAATTTCGGACACAAGTCACCAAATGTCGACCTCACCAAGAACACTTTTCACCCGGATCGAGAGTGAGCCTTCAACATGCAGCTACGAGCCTAAGAACTCACAGATGGCATCTGGTTGTCAGGGATGCAAAAAAGCCATATTTTTAGTACGGTTTAGTATGGGTTAGTACGGGTTCCGTACGGGTTAAATATGGGTTCTCAAAACACAATGTTTTTTGGGGCAGATCGAAAATACGGGTTCCGTATGGGTTAGTACGGGTTAAGTACGGGCTCCGTACGGGATAAATACGGTGTCTTATGTTTTCAGTGAAGGCGCCCTCCAAATTCACAAAAAGGCTATTTAATTTAAGATGACCAACACAGATGGAAGAATCGGAAGAATGCTCGACATTTGATGACTTGCGGATCCATTAAGGTCCCACGGCACTCACCTGAAAGCAAGATCCGGGAGACAGGTGTTTGTTTATGGTAGCCGGAGCTATTCTTCAGTGGTTTTACCAAAAAGACGATCTTTTTCGAGAAAAGACGCTGTTTTCCATCTCTTCCCTAGAAAAAGCGATGTTTCATCCAGGAGCCTACAAATTGTTAGTGTTTTGCTTCTCTAGGAACATATTAGAATATAATAGAATATTTATAGTATATAGTATTAAAAGGAGAGAGGAGCGAGCTAAAAGAGAAAACCACAAATGTTTACAGGCCCAGACTTCGGCCTCCAAGGAAAAGACATGAAACCTGCCCTGCCGCCCTGCCGTCCTGCTTTGCAGGGCTTGAGCACCCAGTTTAGTTTGCTTGTTAGCAAGGTATCTGAAGAATCGTTGTAGTTTGAGACACACCCATCGGTGTTTTCGCTTTTTGGAGATCTATTTTCACATAATAGTTTGTATTGTTTGGACATGATTGGAATGATTGAGCTTCTATTTACTTTGTCAAGAGCTCCTGAGTCTGTCTCATCCTAAGAAGAACCCACATGCATCTGAGGAGGGTGGTGGGTGTGCAGCAGCGGCGACGAAGGAGGGTGGTGGTGATAGTGCATCCAACATGGAGTTGCACTTTCGGCCCTGCGATGAAAAAGATGCCGGACAAACCTTTCATGCGAAGCCCAGATTTGGAGGCTTTGAGATCAAGGTGGGGGAGACTGGCTATTGCTTGGACTCAGGTGGGGCGTGGGTGCAAAACAAAGATTGAATTGGAGAACAGGCGGTGTTAGTCAGGCTGGTCCAGAATTGGCATGAATCCGCCGCCATGTTCGTGCAGCATTTTTGCTTCGTGCTTCGTGTTTGCATTCAGGTGGTGGGAGTCAGGCGCTGGTGTATCCCTGCTATGATGAGAAGGTCCACAACATGAATCAGGTCTGGAAGATCCGTGATGGCCGTCTACTCTGGGAATCTGGAGGACGCGTGATCTGTGTGGATTCCGAAAAGATCCAAGAGAAGGTGAAGGCACCACAAGGTGGGTTGAGGGTGTCTTTAGGGTGGACATCCGTTCGCCAGAAGGGTTTGCACATGCCCAGCTGTCCGATGTGAATCCTCGGAGGGTCCCAACATGTCCCGTTCGTCTCCAAACGGTTGGGCGGTGGTGCAAGATGATGGGATGCACGTTTCCCTTTGTCAATGAGGTGAATCCTATTTTTCCGATCTATATCCATGTCTATAGCCGATCCATTGAATCTATTGGTATGGAACAACCAATCCTTTTTCATGTCTCTTTTCTGCTGTTCTCTACTCGAGGTGAATATCGCCTGGTGACCTGTGCACCCAAGCCTGGACAGCGCTTGAAGCGTGAAGAGATCGATTCTCAAGGGACCTTCCTGCTGAAAGATCAAGATGACGGTCGCTGTCTGTCGGCGCTCTCAGGTAATGTGTTGGGCTTATCGGAGTGCACTGCGAAGCAACGTTGGCGGGTCTTGGCTGCGAATGGCTTCCACCAGGTCCAGCACTGTGAATCGAAACTCTGCATTGATGCAGGGTCAGAGCAAAAGCCGATCCTTGAACTTCAGATGATCAGCTTTTTTGTTCTTGTCTTTGTACATGAACTTGTGAAGAAACCTCTCAAACTTGGGCCTCATGAGAATGCAGATTCATGCAAACAAGAAGGAAACGAGCTGTCGAGCAACGTCTTAACTACAAGCAGCCAAACTCTCTAGTTTCAGATTTCCATTTTCAACCAGCCATGGAGTGATTCATTCTGCCGGACGACGATGTGTTTGTTCATTAATTTTTGCATCTAAGGATCCTTTATCCCTGCCACACAGGGCGTGTGAATCAACCACAGAAGTTCACGGTGGTGGATGAGCCTGGCTGGATACAAAACCCTCTCACTTGGGGTGATAACGGTCACTCAGATCATCTCCAGATCCAAAGTGTCATTTCTTTTAGTAGTTTGAGCTAGACACAATATGACAGAATCTACAGCTTTCCCAATTCCCTGAAGATCGAGAGTAGTGCTTGCACGTATTCTCCCCCCACAAATTTGCAGATGCTGGTACTTGTACGCTAGGATTGCTGGTCAGCCATTGATTTAATAGCCTGAATCCGAAACGACCTTGTTTACTAAGGCACTAAGGATTTGAGACTACAACTCCAGGTCTTTCCCATGTTTAGTCCTGAAGGCTTGGAAATACCACTACTCATATATTTTAGTTTTGACACTCCCAATATTTGGTTCCTCCGCACCTTCCCCCTTCACCCAATGGCTTCGCGGTTCCTCCGCGCCTGCGCGTCGCCTTCGCGTCGCCTTCGCAGGTCGCCGACGGAGCTTCGAGAGTTGTTTGGATCGCTTACCCACGCAGCACCAGAGCGTCGCCGTGCAGGAGTGCAGTGAGGTCCGTCAGGCAGGGGTTCAGTGGGAGCGGCTGACGCTTTGTCCAAGGCTGAACTGTTTGGCTGCGAGAGTGTGTTTTGCTTGTTCTTGTTTTTTGATTTGGTGCCCTCTCAGAGCTCTTGAATGGGACTACGACTTGCGAGTGATCCACCATACAGGATCTATAGCGAGACCGGAGCTACCAATGGACCACTCTTCGCTACTTTGTTGGGCTTCTATTGGACCTCCCTTGGGAAGATCCTCATAGTATGTAGGAACAAACCGGTGGGTGCATTCCTGTACCACCGGCGACCGCTTTGCAACCACGCTCCTTCTGAGCCGAGGAATGTCTTCGTGCCACTGGAACGGAGGCTTTGGGAGAAGGCGGCGAAGCCGCCTCCAGGGACTCCCATCCTGGGAGGAGACATGGCACCGCCTTGATCCGAAAAAAGAACAGAGCTCTCGTTCAAACCTAGCGATGGCCTCCAAGTATACTAACTAGCGATGGGCCTCGAACCGACGGCCTCCAGCCCTACTGAGCTCTCGTTCTCGAGAGAGGTTGAGTTCAGGGTGGATTTTGGCAGCTGTGGAGTCGGAAGCTATGAATCCGACAGGATGGTCTTCACTCAAGGCTAGGTACCTTCTTCTCCGGCAGACATTCCCTTTGGCTTTTGAAACTTGTCAGACCACCAGAGAGACTATGTTCCTGGATACTCCCAAGAGCTCCACTCCCTTTGGTGTGACTTGCGATAGGCTTGGGGTGCCCTTGGTGCCAAGTTAGGTTGACAGAGACTAAGAGGCAGTCTGGACTCTGGGGGTGATCTGCCCTCATTCCCTACTACTACCATGGCTGGAACATAGAAATTATCTATATATTATATACACACACATTTTTCTCTTGGACACGATTATTTGGATGGTGAAAACCAAGCTTCACCTTGTTTCCGCACCAAGAGCAAGTGGCCCTCACTTGTTGAAGATCAATACAACCTCCTCATGGACATCTGCCTGCGTTAATTGGCTTCCATTTGCTTCCTCTTTTTGCACACAATCTGCAACCCTTGCACATGAACCTGCGAAGAAAATGGAAGAAATGCAATGCGACGTCCACCAGGTGCGACGTCCTGCGCCATCCGCGCACCGGGCGCCGAAGCTCCGCACGGTGAGGTCCTTCGCTTCGGACCCCGTGGAGACGACGGAGCGAGCTTCTACAGCTCGCCCGGGAGGCCGAAAAGAGGGAGCCCCTATGTTGGCAGTCGACCGGTGCTTGAAGCAATTGTAAAGGGATTTTCTACAAGCAGTTTGATGGGCCGTTCTTACCGAGCAGGAGGAGGGTCAAGGGCATTTCCTTTTGACCGCTTTTGGGGAGGCTGGTGTTTCATTCATCGCCTCGTGCCGAGCACGTCTCGCGTGAGCAGTCTACGAGAACTTGAGAGGGTGAAGGACAGTCTGGTCCTTGTTCAGGCGTTCACCCGGATTGCATGAAGCCGAAAAACCACAAGGGTTGAGCCACATAAAAACATCTCAATTACCTGGAAGAGGAAGATGAGGAAGAACGATTTGATTCCAACCCAAATGACCCTGCCTTCAGCAAGCCATGGGTTCTCAATGGTTCTCAGCATTTCGAGCGGAGCCTTCGCCGGGTTGCGTTCTGTCAGGCTGGGACCCAGCGGCACCTGCATCTGGGATGAGGTACACGACGCAGCGACGCTCGGACGCTCGGGACGACCCGAAGAGGACGACCAAGACGATCCAAGGCGGTCAAGACGAGGTTCTTTCGGCAGGCTTCGCGAAAGTGAGACGAGAATCATTTGGAAACAGCGGGGGAGGGACTGCAGCAAAGGTCTGAAGCATCTCTGTATGAGAAAATATGAAGGTCATCCACTGTGGCAGACTTTGGGTCTCTTGTAAGCTGGCAAATTGGGCCTTTGGAAATCAAAGGACACAGGGATATGTTCTCCATACAACGTTTCTCTATGATCAGCTGGCATTTGGCAGGAATTCAGCGTTTGGTTAGACTTCGCAGCCAGCCTCTCAGCGTCCGCAGCGCAAGTGGACTTGGTCCTGAAACGCACAATCTTCGATCTCACGGAAAATCCTAATCCCTAGGCATCCAACCACCATTTTGCGCTACAAAAGGCGGCAGGACAACCATTGTTGAAATTGTCTTGGAAGGCTAGGGTGCTAGGGCAGAACGGAGAAGCCTGGCCTTTTTGGAGCATGGCAGCATGCCCTAACTTCAGCAACTGAGCAACTGTCTCGGATGTCTATGTTGCCATCCCCAAGCTCAACAAGGATGGGGGATGTTGTTGATGTTAGGATGAAGTCGGATGAGTTCGGTCATCGAACTGCCAATGGTGGGTCTGCCAACTGAGAAGCTGTTTAAAGATGTTTAAAGGCAAAGTGACGAAGTCGGCCCCAAAGGTCCTTGGATCATGTTGGATCGACCGGGAAGGCTTTTGTTAGAAAGGAGATGGATCCTTGTCGACATAGATCTAGTAGGCAACACAATGATTGTGCTTGAACTTGTTCAAAAGGATGCTTGTGTTTTTCCGAATTCTTGTCCGCAAACATGTGCGTCCCGATAGGAAACCTGATGTAAATGTGCATCCCAATCTGTTGCGTCTCTCTTTGATAATTATGCGCCGCTTTCTCAGGCTGAGTGCTTCCAGGAGGCTGTGCTCCGCTTTGAGGCGCAGCGGGCCCAGCCAGGCTGAGAATGCCCAATCAGATCACTCGCCCCCCTTACCGTCTCCAGGTCTAGGACTTGGTGCGCAACTGGGTTTTTACATGTAAAAGTGGTGCCACCCAATGAACCAGCTATAGAGATCCAGAGATCCAGAGAGAAGCCTGGGAACAGAGAAAACACAACAGATGAATCCAATGAGTCTGAGACAGCATCGAAATGCGAAGGACAGCTCATTGCATCACTGTTTATACATGGAACATGTCACACATCTCACGTACAAACATACCTGGATAATCTTTGATATATGACCAGATTGGTTTGCACCGGGGTAAGTGGCTTCGCTCACAACTGCTTGAAATATGAGGCATGTTGTTGCTGCACCCAGTTTGCGTATAGGTTTGTGGCTTTAGACAAGTCTTTGGTTTTGCACTGTTGAAAAGAAAGCGATTTCAGGATGCTTAAGCACGTCCCAGACAGGCTCAAGTGATGGGATGAACATGGGACGGACATTGTCAAAAGGTGAAGTTGCGATTGGCCTCGGAGAGATAGTTGAGTCATGTTTTTGCCAGTTGCGCTGCACGCAACATTGTGGGGCGAGCAGGTATGCCTGCATTGTATTTTGGATGAACTACTAATTTAGTGAGGCTCTTGACGCCTTGCTGCATGTCTCCTTGGATGCGGATTGACTGCAAGATTGCCATAAACTCTCAGCCGTACCTTTATCCATGCAGTGTCTCTATTGGTAGAGGGTCTAGTGTACAAAGCTGGAATGCGATTGCAAGCTCAGTCCATGTGAATGAGAGATGGTGATTCCATGTACTGCGGCTGCACCGCTCCGAATTCCATAGAGCTACGCAGCCGACTGGAGGGGGGTGCAAACTCAACTCACCAAGCTGTTTGTTTCTTGTTGCATTGCGAAGCTTATTGAAACCCGTTGATCTTATATTCTCAAAGGGCATTTCCCTTGGTCGCGGAGGCTTTGGTCTTTCACAACGCACCGACCGGTGGGCAATGTTGTTGGAGTTTTCATCCCCAGCGCCGGAGAAGTACGTGTGAAGCAGGTTCCCACTTTTGCCATGTCATTTGCCTCCAAGTTGGCGCAGCAAATAACATATACAGCACCAGCAGTTCCATGTCAGGCCGGGGTGCTCAATGTGCCCTTCTCACATCCACTCAAGTCACCCGACATGAAACTGCATGCCAAAGATCAGGTCGGAACAGGTGGAACTTCATGCGAATGCTCCCAGCCCACGGAGCACGCAGGTTTTGTGCCAACGTGGTGGCTGGCGCGAAACGAAAGAGTGCCTGGCGGCAGGCCTTTCGGCGGTTTTTGGGAATCCGAAGGATCCACGCCCATCGCCAAGTCGGACCATTTGGGGTCCACCTCCAAGCGGTTTCACTGCACATCCGGTTGTGGTTTGGGACGGCAGTCCATTTGCAGACACTTTGAGGTTACTTACTGTAAACCAATTGTTTGTGATGGTCTTATCCCGTGTTCTTTGGGGTATGGTTATTGGAGACCTCACGTCAAAGGATGGTATAGCCTGTAGCCTTGAGCATCTCAAAACAGTTACAGTAGACAGGTGAAACACCAACACCCCAGCGTTCCATTCCGATTTAACATGTCCAAGGTCTCCTTGCTTGGACCTTTGGTGGACTGTGGGCAGATGGATTTAACGTGTCCAGAAGGATTCATTTTGGACAGGAGGGCCACCAGCTGAACACACACACAGATACACAATTTTTCCGAGCTCAGGTGCATGATTTGTTGTCCTGATATTGCTGCGGGTCCATTCAGTTCATGTTCGGCTGAGTTGAAAGACGGAAAGAGCCATATTTTGCAAACGATCTGTATCTCTGATTTGCGCTGCCAGGATCTCTGCGCCTTTCCTGGATCCACGCACTACCTGGCGCCTCGGCCTGCAGTGCAGGGTGGGGTCGGACGAACCTTAGCAGGCCCAGATTCAGTTGAAAAGGGAGTAAACTCAGTTGCGCTGAGATGGTTTTATGGGGCGTCCTTCCTCCTATCTCAGATTCTGAGCGGAAGGTTCCAGGTGGGTGACATTTCTTTTGGGTGAGAGCCTCTGGATCGTCATGTGTCAAGATAGCTGCCAACCGCCAAAGCCCCTAACACAGAAAAGGACTAACAATTGTTGAGACAACCCCCAACCAAGGTTCATTATAAGCAAAATCACTCAGAATTTGGTTGCTCATGGTCTTAACTTCACGGCTGGAATCATTTGGGACAGCAATATTCCAACTCTCATTTTGAGACATTCTTAAGAGAACATTCAGGAAGAAGAAGTGCCTGGCCCAGCGCCCTGCAGGCCATGCGCATCCGCGGCTACGGATCCCCTTGAAGCGAGCTCCCTTGGCACCGCTGGAGGCAGGCGTGCAAGAAGCATATATAAGTGGGATTTCTGATCGAGAGTTCTACACTCCCTGAAATAGTAATGGAAGTGGACAACTACCCGATTGCAGAGGTATGGCGCCATGCCGTTCACTTCCATGATTATTTCAGGGAGTGTAAAGGAAAGGCAGCAGATTGATTCTTCTTCCTGAGATGGACACCATCCTCGGACAACGTCCATGCTACCATACTAGAAAGAATCATACTGGTCTTTCTCCAGCATCGATCTTGAAGGTTTCAACACAATCGATCTAGAGGGCAAAGATCTCTCTACTACGGCATATTAGGATCCGTGAACCCATCAGGTTTTAAGATACAACTCCACCAGGTTTTGACGTGGTC